GAGAGAGAGAGAGAGAGAGAGAGAGAGAGAGAGAGAGAGAGAGAGAGAGAGAGAGAGAGAGAGAGAGAGAGAGAGAGAGAGAGAGAGAGCAATAGCGAGAACTTGGGGGGTTAGACCCTCACTGGAAGCTAGTCAGCTTCAATTATACAAACAACAGATGAACAACAACAATTCGACAAGAACGCTTCTGAACATCTCCTGACACCACTACTGTTAGCAACAATTCAACAAACTGACCGTTCTTTTCCTTTTCTTCTTCACTGACTCTCTTTGAGTACCTGACATGCTACCTGCTAATATGATACATGCCTGATCGGGCGATGTATGGGAGCCAAGGATCCGCAAAGTGATGAAAAGGACTCGTATGGACAGTGCAGTGTCAGCCAAGCATCAACCAGCAATGTACATCCAGATACATATGAAAATAGCACAATGTAGCGCAATGGAAGACTCAACGATATGACCTGACCTGTCAGATACTGACGCGACACCCCATCATACACCACACATGTGAGAGAGGGAGGAGGGACCACACACATGGAAGAAAGGTCCCTCCTTGCGCACACACGAAATGAAGATGGAGGCGAGGGAGAAGACCAAGATCGCGATAGCGAAGTCCAAAAATAGTCCCTTGCCGAGTGCCCAATCAATGTCTGCCGCAAAATGTCGAATCAGATCCTGGGCATATGCCCGATGTGACCTCTATCAGTAATCTCTCTCTCTCCGTCTGAAGAAGAAGAAGAAGAAGAAGGAGGTAGGAGGGAGGAGAGATGGAGGTCGAAAAAGAAGAAGAAGATGTTGTCCTCCTCGCTGTCTCACCTGCAGGTGGCGCCTGGTACTGACCGCATATGCGTCGTGTTGTGTGCAGGTCGCCGGCGTGGAGCCCCAGTGATGGCGCCAGGTGAGCTTGCCGAATGCAGGTATGGGCCCCGCCCCTCTGCCTAGCTACGCCTCTACTCTAACGCAGCGCAGCGCTGTCGCATGTGGTGCTGGTCCAGCAGCGTGTCGCCCAAGAAGTGAGCTACTCGAACTGTGTAAGTGCCGAGCTGTAGCCCAGCTATAAGTAGCACTGGGCCTGGCTGGGAGTGCCTCTGATGCTGGCCAAAAACGGCCCACTCGGTCTGGGCCCCTACCGGGCGTCCAGACCATGCTGCTGATGCAGCAAGGAGCAAAAACAAGCCTGGTCTAAAACGGCCCTGCCCCAGGTGTACCCTGCCCAAGGCATAGCCTTGGGAACTGCAAGTCCGAAACGACGTCTGAACAGACAAAAATAGGACAGCAAATAAATAAATAAATGAATGCTGCCTGAAATCGAAACCTGCGGCCTGGGGGCCGCCGTGGGCCTCCAGGGCGCGTGTCCGATGGGCACGTGGCCTGGGGGACCTCAGCAACCGCCGGGCCCCGGGAATGGGGCCCATGTGCAGGCTAAGCATGTAACACCCCCCCCTCCTTACGAAGTCAAGCTGGGTCGAGGGCAAGCTGATCCGAAGGTGGAACCTGGACGCGAGTACGACGTGGAGCCAAAGGTACTGGCTTGCCTTGTAACTTGCATTCGTGACGTGTGAGAACATCGGGTGCTGATGTCTGAAGTTCCGTGCGGGTCAACCCTCGGTTAGTTTTATGGCTACAATAGGCGAAATGTACCAAGTACTCTATTGGCCTGTTGCCGTAGCATCGCCGGGAAATGATGTCGCCAACCTCTTAAAAACCGTCCACAGAGGGTGGGTCTTGCGATCGTCGCCTGGGAAAGTCGCCGTGTTCCGCTGGAGTGAACAACGCTAACTTAGAACAATGGAAGACCGGGTAGACGGGCAAGTGGGCGGGCACCTGAATGACAAATGAAGGTCCTTCCGGTGCATCCCCAGCGGGTGCCACAAAGGGCCAGGGCCCCATCCATTTCGGAAGGAGCTTGCGAGAGAGATCTTGCTCGGGGCTGAACTCCGCGACGGAGACCCATCCGAGGTCGCCGGTGCGGAACGGACAAGGAAGACACTGGTGTTTGGCCTGTTGGCACATATGTTGCTGTGTCTTCGACATCTGGTTGCGTGCCTTGACAAGAAGCTCTTGCATCCGATGAATGAAGAGGAGATGGTCATCGCTCTCGGCCGCCCGTGGGATAATCGTGTCCAACGGAGAAGTGACCGTCGAGCCATGATCGAACTCAAAGGGCAAAATCTCGATAGCCAGATGAATGGATGAGTTGTATGCCAACTCGACATCGGATAACTGCTCAACCCAATCCTTTTGGTCGGGATGGATGAGAGTGCGAAGGAAAACCTGTGCGGTCTGATGCGCCCTCTCATTTTGGCCATCGATTTGGGGATGGTGAGCCAAAATCGACTTGAGAGATGAGCCCCATCGTTTGATGAGCGCCAACCAAAAATTGGACATGAACCGAGTGTCGCGGTCGCAAACGGTTTCCTTGAGGTAACCCTTGGTTCGCATCCAACCGGCGTAAAGAACCTCGGCCACCTCCGGTGCCTTGGCGTGATAGTGGCAGGGCAAAAACATGGCACACTTGGTAAGTCGGTCGAGCACCGTGAGAATCCCATCCACACTGGTCTTGTGCTTGGGGAATGACCCGGTAATATCCATGGCAATCACTTCCCTTTGACACAAGGGGACCGGTAATGGTCGCAACTCACCGTATGGACGATGATTGCGGGATTTGTAACGTCCGCAAACCTCGCATAACTCGGAATAGAGTGTGACGTCGTTGAGAAGACTGGGCCACCAAAAGGGCTCGCGAAGTCGGCCAATCGTACAATTGAGTCCAAAGTGTCCGGTGGCCGGAGCGTCGAGGAATTCACCAAGAAGCCGCGTGCACAAGTTTGAATCTCTTGGCACGCAAAGGAGATCCTTCCCTCACGAGTGGACCAGCAAATATCTCTCTTGGATCCGATAGTGCAATGACGCTGGATTGGGAGAGGAACAATTCGCGTATTTGTCGCTAAACTCGAGGTCGGCTTGGTAGCCGCGAATAAAGATGTCCCGCAAGTCATCGTCGATCTCGAAAGTCGAGTAGATTGCGGTACAATGGTCCGAACACCGTGAAAGAGCATCCGCAAAATGGTCTGACTTTCCCGGAATGCGGTCGGGAAAGAAGTCAAACAGGGGATGGTGCTATTGATAGTGTCTTGGGTCTTGTAGAAGACCAACGAATTGTTATCCGTTACCCATCGGAATTATCGTCGACCGAGAAGAAAATGCCGCTAGTGCTTGAGCGCGTGTACGAAGGCCAAAAACTCCCTTCTGTGCATCGTCAATCAAGTGCACGGCGGGCACTTTCTTGTTAAAGCACTCGACCACGTGCCATTCCATGCCATCGTGTTGCTCAGGACGACACCAATGTCATAGCTGGACGCATTGGTAGTGACACGCGTCGGCAAAAGCAAGTCGTAGATACGCAACACCTCCATGGATAGCAACACGGCTTTGAGAGCCATGAAGGCAGCCCACACATCGTCGTCGAAGTTAAATGGTTGGTCCTCGCATTGAAGCTTGGATAAATGGGTTGCGATCTTCGAATATCCCTTGATGAAGCGTTGATAGTAGCCAACTAAGCCAAGAAAGGAACGGACATTCGTGACGTTCTTCGACTCCGGGCACTCTCGGATGGCTTGAATCTTGTCCAATAACGGACTGACGCCCTCCAGTGTGACAAAATGACCAAAGTACTCAACTCTTGACGCATGAATTCTCACTTGTCACGGTTGGGTTTGTATTTGGCGCGGTGGAGCATCTCCAACACATGTCGAAGGTGCTCTAGATGGTCCTCCAAGGTCCGGCTATAGACGAGAATGTCGTTCAAGTAGACCAGCACAAACCAGTCCAACATAATGCGGAACTCGTTGGTCAGCCACTTGAAAAATCGCCGGGGCATTGGTGAGGCCAAAAGGCATAACGACCCACTCAAAATGCCCGTACCGCATCTTGAACGTGGATTTGTAACGATCTTGCGGACATATCGAAGGGAAAATTTTTGAAATGCCCCTGAAGTTTGCGTTTATTTGCGGCATGCCCCTGTGAAGGCCGACTTACCCTGTTATGCCCCTCGGGCCTCTGAAATTTTCCGCAGGCCCCTGTCAGCATGGGGCGTAACTTTCCAATATGCCCTTACTGGACCGCTGGTGGCGATTCGTCGGTCCGTCCTTGAAATGCCCTCACGAGGGGCACGCATCTTTCTGTGATGGCCTTGCAGCAGTGGGGACAGGAATTCGAACTCGAAAATGGTAGGTATTGCACGTGCCGCCAGGGAAAAATGGTACCACAGCCAGTCGTCAAGTTCGCCGCGCCATGGATAGCTGCTCCCTCCTCCTCCACCCATGCTCATCGCCCTCCTCCCTCCTCCTCCATCCATGCTCGTCGCTCTCCTCTCTTCTCCTCCAGCCTCCATCCTCTATCCTTGTCCATAGTCGTAGTCCTTGTCTTCCCTACTCCTCTTCCCTCCTCTTCCCTCGTTCTCCCTCCTCCAACTTTCTCCTTGTCAACCCTCCCTCTCCTCCTCCTCCTCTATTGTCGGCTCCTAACCTAACCATCACCATGGCCATCTTCTTGTCATCATCGCCCGTGCACACGCGCGCGTTTGTATGTGTGTGTGTGTGTGTGTGTGTGTGTGTGTGTGTGTGTGTGT